CCGGGGCGGGGGGGGGGGGGGGGGGGGGGAGGTGGCAGGCTCTGCCAGGCGTGATGTTGGGCTGCCCTCAGTGGAGGGCTTCGAAGTCAGCATTCGAGGGGCAGGGAGTTAGGGGGCCCCTCCCCACCCCAAGTCCCCACTGCCAGTGCCCCCGGGGACTCAGGTGGGACTTCCAGGGGGACCTCTTGTGCTGGAAGGTTATGGGGGACGGTGAAGCTCTGGACAATACGTTTCGTTCTTTTTTTAAATATATTTTGTTATTGATTTGAGAGAGAGAAACACCAATTGGTTGACTCCTGCACGCCCCCTGCTGGGGATTAAGCCCACAACCAGGCCTGTACCCTGACTGGGAATCCAACAGGCAACCTCTTGGTGCCTGGTCGACACTCAACCACGGAGCCACACCGGCCGTGTTTTTTTTTTTTCTTTCTGCATTTTCTACATTTTCTTGAGAATGCTGCAAGGGAGGGGGAGGGGGGACACTGGGGCCTGAGCCGGCTGCTGTGGGGACGGGGGGGAAGGGGGTCAGGCTGTCCTGGGACGCCACGTGCGTTCCCCTGATGTCGGACCTGTGGGCAGTGGCTGTAGGGACGGAAGGTGTTTCCTCCCGCCCAGGTTCCTTGGCTGGTCCCATAAGTAAAGCGATAGAAGTCAGGTTAGCAAAGCAAACCCCCATGGAGAGCAGGGACCCTCCTCCCGTGGGCCCGGCATAGGCCACCCTGCAAGCTCCGTCCCAGCGAAAGACAGGGGTGCGGGGTGGGGTCAGCGACCGGGAAGGTCTGCAGGTGGCCGTCATGCCGACTGGCGCGGGCCTGCAGCTCTGGTAATTGCTCCCAGGGATGGGGTCCCCTCCTCATCCTGTGCCGTGTGGGCCGCTTACCAATGCAGGTTCCCCGCACGTCAGTGTCCCTCCAGAGGCACCTTCCCTCGCCTTCAGGGCGCCCGGGCCGCCAACCGGGCGGAACAGTGAACAGAGCGTCAGCCTGTGGACCGAAGGGTTCCGCGTTCGATTCCAGCCAAGGGCACGTACCTTGGTTGCAGGCTCCTTCCACTCTCTCCTCCCCATCCCCCCTGACCCAGGCCCTGGTCGTAGCATGTGCAGGAGGCAACCCATCGATGTGTCTCCCTCTGTCTTTCCCTCTCTCTTCCACTCTCTCCAAAATCAATGGAAAAAATATCCTCGGGTGAGGATTAAAAAAAAAAAAAAAAAGACCAGCTCAAACGAATATTCCAGAGGGTGACGGGCTCTTCCCTTCCCTGCCTTGTAGACTCTGAGAACGTCCTGAAGGCGACATCGGTGCCCGAGGGGGAGATGGAGAGCGGACAGGAGCTGAAGGAGGAAGGTGGCCCCCAGGCGACGTCGGTCCCTGAGGGGGAGAAGAGCGGACAGGAGCTGAAGGAGGATGGGGCCCCCCAGGTGACGTCGGTCCCCGAGGGGGAGAAGGAGAGCGGACAGGAGCTGAAGGAGGATGGGGCCCCCCAGGTGACGTCGGTCCCCGAGGGGGAGATGGAGAGCAGACAGGAGCTGAAGGAGAAAGGTGGCCCCCAGGCGATGTCGGTCCCCGAGGGGGAGAAGGAGAGCGGACAGGAGCTGAAGGAGGAAGGTGGCCCCCAGGCGACGTCGGTCCCCGAGGGGGAGAAGAGCGGACAGGAGCTGAAGGAGGAAGGTGGCCCCTCCTCATCGCTGGACTCCAGTGACCAGCAGGCAGAGCTGGCCCAGCCCAGCTCCCAGTCCTGGAAAAGCCAAAAAGTGAGTGCCGGCCCGGGCGTCCTGGTTCTGCCACCGCCGCTTCCTGCCGTGGTTCCCCAGCTGCCGGCCCTGGTGCCCGAGTCCCCA